CGACTCAAAAAAAAAAAAATAAATAAATAAAATAAAATAAAAATAAAAATAAAAATAAAAAAAATAAATAAACAAATAAAAATTAAAAGAGTCTGGTCCCTCCCACTCCTGTGTGTAGTTTGGAAAAGAACAAAGAAAAGAAAAAAAGAGTCTGGTCCCAACCTGCTTCCACCTGCCTTGCTATATTGCTGGATGCAAATATTACTATAAGTAACATTACCTCTGGCTTGGCTGGTGCTCAGTGTAAGTGAGGGTGGCCCTAAATGTCTCCCATGCAGGAATCCTCAAGACAACCCCTTGAATTAGGGAAGCCTTTTATTTGTTTATTTATTTATTTATTGAGACAGAAACTTGCTTTATCACCCAGGCCACAGTGCAGTGGTGCAGTCAAGGCTCAATGAAGCCTCAACCTTCTGAACTCAAGAGATTCTCCCACCTAGGCCTCTTCAGTAGCTGGGACTACAGGTGAGCACCACCACTCCCAGCTAATTAAAAAAAATTTTTTGTAGGTGGGGCACGGTGACTCATGCCTGTAATCCCAGCACTTTGGGAGGCCGAGGTGGGTGGATCACGAGGTCAAGAGATCGAGACCTTCCTGGTCAACATGGTGAAACCCCTCTCTACAAAAAATAAAAAAATTAGCTGGGTATGGTGGCACGTGCCTGTGGTCCCAGCTACTTGGGAGGCTGAGGTGGAAGAATCACTTGAACCCAGGAGGCGGAGGTTGCAGTTAGCCAAGATTGTGCCACTGCACTCCAGCCTGGCGACAGAGCAAGACTCCGTCTCAAAAGACAAAATTTTTTTGTAAAGACAGGGTCTCTACATTGCTCAAGCTGGTCTTGAGCTCCTGGTCTCAAACTGTCCTCCCACCTCAGCCTTCTAGAACACTGGGATTGGCCGGGCAAGGTGGTTCATGTCTATAATCTCAGCACTTTGGGAGGCTGAGGCAGGTGGATCACATGAGGTCAGGAGTTTGAGGCCAGCCTGGTCAACATGGCGAAACCCTGTCTCTACTGAGAAAAAAAAAAAAAAAATAGCTGGGCGTGGTAGCGCATGCCTGTAATCCCAGCTACTTGGGAGGCTGAGGCAGGATATTCTTTTGAACCTGGGAGGTGGAGGTTTGGTGAGCCGAGATTGTGCCATTGCACTTCAGCCTGGGCAATAAGAGTGAAACTCTGTCTCAAAAAAAAAAAAAAAAATTTAGCGAAATTTGCTGGGTGTGGTGGTTTGTGCCTGTAGTCCCAGTTACTAGAGAGGCTGAGGCAGGAGGATGGATGGAGCCCAGGAGGTTAAGGCTGAAGTGAGCCATGACTGCAACACTGCACTCCATTCTGGGGTACAGAGTGAGACTCTGTCTCTATAAAAAAAGTTTTTTTGCCTGAGTGTGGTGGCTCATGCCTGTAATCCCAGCACTTTGGGAAGCCAAGGCAGGTGGATCACCCGAGGTCAGGAGTTCGAGACCAGCCTGGCCAACATAGCAAAACTTCATCTCTACTAAAAATACAAAAATTAGCTGGGCATGGTGGTGGGTGACGGGAGTCCCAGTTACTAGGGGTGCTGAGGCAGGAGGATCGCTTGAACCTGGGAGGCGGAGGTTGCAGTCAGCTGAGATCATGCCACTGAACTGCACACTGGGCAACACAGCAAGAATCCATCTTTTAAAAAAAGCTTTTTTGGGGAACGAATAAAAGTAAATTAGTAAGAATAATAAAAGCTACATTTGTCCTGCTCGAATGATATTCACAGTTCCTGTTACTGAGGGAATGAATATTTCAAATTCACTCAGTCAAATTTATTTATTTATTTAGAAACAGCAACGGTGCGATCTTGGCTTACCGCAACCTCCACCTCCTGGTTGAAGTGATTCTCCTGCCTCAGCCTTCCAATTAGTTGGGATTACAAGCATGGGCCATCATGCCAGGCTATTTTCTTTTCTTTTTGTATTTTTCGTAGAGATGGAGTTTTCTCCATGTTGGTCAGGATGATCTCAAACTCCCAACCTCAGGTGATTCACCCCCCTTGGCCTCCCAAAGTGCTGGGATTGCAGGTATGAGCTACCACACCCGGCCCACCAATAAAAGTTATTATATGAAACAGTGAATGAATGAATTGGACAAATTTTGAACACCCAGTGCTGAGCACTAGGGACATAAACATGAACAAGACAAAGTCCCTGCTGTATTGGGGCTGACATGTGTGGGAGAGACAAGATGAATGGATGGATGAATTAATGAGAGGATGAATGAATGCATGGAGAGATGGGTGGATGGATAGATAGGTGAATAAATTAAGGAGTGCAAGAATAGATGAATGGATGGATGGATGAATGGATGGATGGATGGACCAATGGATGGATGGATAGATGAATAAATTAATGAATGCAAGAATGGATGAATGGAGGCAGGGATAGTGGATCACGCCTATAATCCCAGCACTTTGGGAGGCTGAGGCAAGTGGACCACGAGATCAGGAGTTCAAGACCAGCCTAGCCATATGGTGAAACCCTGTCTCTACTAAAAATACAAATATTAGCCACCTATAATCCCAGCTACTCAGGAGGCTGAGGCAGAAGAATTGCTCCAGCCTGGGGGGGGCGGAGGTTGCAGTGAGCCAAGATCGCACCACTGCACTCCAGCCCGGGTCACAGAACAAGACTCCGTCTCAAAAAAAAAAAAAAAAAAAAAAAAAAAAAAAAAAAAAAAAAAAAAAAGAATGGGTGAATGGATGGGTGAGTGGAATGATGGATGGATAGACGAATAAAATGATGAATGCAAGAATGGATGAATGGGTGGATAGATAGATAAATTGATGAATGTAAGAATGGATGAATGGATGGATGGATGGATGGATAAATAAATTGATGAATGCAATAAGGATGGATGAATGACTGATGGATGGATGGATGAATAAATTAATGAATGCAAGAATGGATGCATGAATGGATGGATGAATGATGGATGGATGAATAATGAATTCAAGAATGGATGGATGGATAAATAAACTGATGAATGTAAGAATGGATGAACAGAAGAATGGACAAATGAATAACTTGATGAATGTAAGAGTGGATGGATGGATGGAAAGATGAATAATGAATGAATGCAAGAGTGGATGAATGAATGAATGAGTAAATGGATGGATGGATGGATAAATAAATGAATAAAAAAATGGATGGATGGATGGATGAATCTATGGAACATGGATTAATGAATGACCAAATTAGTGTATGCATGGATGGATTAATGAATGCAACAATGAACGAATGAATGGATGAATGGAGAGAGGAATGTAAGGAAGGATGAATGAATGGGTGGAAGGATGGATGATTTGTCTGGGGTCTCCACCCATCGGTACTCCTGGGTGGGTAGGGAAAGTGAAGCGGGGCAGCAGACCCATCTGAAGCCGCAGTACAGGGTCTTGCAGCCGTCTTCGCGTCTGCCGACAGCGCTGCTCACCTGGCGGCCTCCCCTTTAAGACGCACACACCTGGGCGCTCACCTGGGCGAAGGCGCTTCCGCAGGAAGAAGGAAGCGGCGCCGCCGTCGCCTCCCCGCGCCCTCCCCGCCTCCTAGGTCCCTCGGCCGCCACCATGTCCGCCTCGGCTGTCTTCATTCTCGACGTCAAGGGCAAGGTGAGGCTGGGCATGAGGAGTTGGGAGACTGACTGGTGAGGTCTCGCTCTCGGGGATTCAGGGGCGACTACTCTGCGCAGGTCAGGGAGGGAGGCCCCAGAAAGGGGCCTGGGAACACCCCCTCCCCGCGCAGTCCCTGGGGATCCGGGGTCAAATCCCACCTCCAGCATTCACTCACCTTGTGCCAGAGTCCAAGGCCTTCGCCTCTCAGGGCCTCAGTTTCTCTGTATGTAAAAATGGGAGCAACAGAGTTCCCCACCCAATGAGAATTAATACGACTCGCTGCGTGTAAACTACTTAGCACAGTGGCCTTTCTGCAAATATTAGGAACTCAGCAAATTGAAATTATCTCCATCACCATCAGAATCCACAGTGTTAATACCTGGGGAAGGCGGCTGAGGCTGGGGCCTCTAACTCCCCTCTGCGGCTGTCTTGTGTCTTTCTGAAATCCTTTCATTCCTCTTGCCTTTTAAAATTTTCGAGACAGGATCTTTTGCTGTCACCCAGGCTGGAGTGCAGTGATGCCATCATAGCTCACTGCAGTCTGGAATTCCTGGGTTCAAGGGATCCTCCTGCCTCAGCCTCCAGAGGAGCTGTGAAAACACAGGTCCAGGCCACCATGCCTGGCTCATTCTTGAAATTTTTTTGTCGTGAGATCCCGCTATGTTGCCAAAGCTGGTGTCAAACTCCTGAGTAGCTGGGGCTGTGGGCTGACTCCACCCTCCACCAAGCCTGGCTATTTTTAATTTTTTTTTTTTTTTGAGATGGAATCTCACTCTGTCACCCAGGCTACGATTCTCCTGCCTCAGCCTCCCGAGTAGCTGAGACTACAGTCCCCTGCCGCCATGCCTAGCTAATTTTTGTATTTTTAGTAGAAGCAGGGTTTCACCATCATGGCCAGGCTGGTTTTGAACGCCTGTCCTCAAGTGGTCCACCCACCTTGGGCCTCCCAAAGTGCGGAGATTACGGGCGTGAGCCACTGCACCCAGCCTTTTTTTTTTTTGTGGAGATGGGGTCTTGCTATGTTGCCTAGGATGGTCTTGAACTCCTGGGCTCCAGTGATCCTCCTGCTCAAAGTGCTGGGATAACAGGTGTGAGCCACTACAGCTGGCCTGTCTTGTTTAATAGCCAAAATAACAGTGGTGAAAATAAGATTCCTGTTAATATTAATAGTGAGAGCTAAGATGTTTGAGAACCTGCCAAGGGGCCTCCCTGTTCAGACGCTGGACGAAACAATCTTAAGAAGTGATTACTATTACGGGCGGCTTCCTGACTACTGGCACAATCATATGAGCTTCTTCCTTTCTTCATTTCTTCCTTTTTTCGTTCCTTCCTTCCTTCCTTATTTCCTTCTTTTTTTTTTTTTGAGACAGAGTTTCACCATGTTGATCAGACTGGTCTCAAACTCCTGACTTAAGGTAATCCACACGCCTCGGCCTCCCAAAGTGCTGGGATTACAGGCGTGAGCCACTGCGCCCAGCCTCTCTTTCTTTCTTTTCTTTTCTTTCTTGTCACCCAGACTGGAGTGCAGTCATGTGATCACAGCTCACTGCAGCCTCAACCTCCTAGGCTCAAGCGATCCTCCTGCCTCAGCCTGCAGAGTAGCTGTGACTACACAGGTGCAGGCCGCCATGCCCAGCTAATTCTTGAAATTTTTTTGTAGAGGGATCCGGCAATGTTGCCAAAGCTGGTCTCAAACTCCTGGCCTCAAGCGATCCTCATGCCTCGGGCTTCCAAAGCAGTGGGATTGGATTACATGCCTGAGTGATTGCACCATTGCACCTGGCCTCTTCTTTGCTTTTTTTTTTTTTTTTTCCCAGTAATCCCACTTTGGTGCAAATGAAGTCTGGGGCAGCAGCAGGGATTCTGGACTCAGGATGTCAGGATGCCTTAGATCAAACCCCAGTTTCCATGCTTCCAATGGACACAATTTCTAACCTCACTTCTCCTGTGTAAAGTGAAGATGATGATAATGTCTACCCCACGGGGTTGTGGCAAGAACTAATGAGTTAGCAAACATCTACTCTTTCTTTTTCTTTTGATAGTTTCTTTCTTTTTCTTTCTTTCCTCTCTCTCTTTATTATTATTTTTTTGAGATGGAGTCTTGCTCTGTCGCCCAGGCTGGAGTGCAGTGGTAAGATCTCGACTCACTGCCTTCTCCCAGGTTCAAACAATTCTCCTGCCTCAGCCTAGCTGAGATTACAGGTGCACGCCACCTTGCCTCGCTAATTTTTGTATTTTTAGTAGAGACGGAGTTTTGCCATATTGGCCAGGCTGGTCTCGAACTCCTGACCTCAAAGTGTGGGGATTACACACATGAGCCACCACACCCTCCTTCCCTCCCTCCCTCTCTCCCTTGCTTCCTCCCTTCCTCCCTTCCTTCCTTCCTTTCTCTTTCCCTCCCACCCTCCTTCCCTCTCTTTCTCTCTTTCTTTCTGGAGTCCTGTTCTGTTGCCCAGGCTGGAGTGCAGTGGTGTGGTCTCAGCTCACTGCAACCTCCACCTCCCGAGTTTAAGCAATTCTCCTGCCTCAGCCTCCTGCTTGCCACCATGCCTGGCTAATTTTTTGTATTGTAGTAGAGATGGGGGTTCACCACATGGGTCAGGATGCTCTTGATCTCCTGACCCCATGATCTGCCCACCTTGGCCTCCCAAAGTGTTGGGATTACAGGTGTGAGCCACCATGTCCGGCTTCTTTTCTTTTTCTTTTCTTTTTTTTCTTTGAGAGGGAGTCTCACTCTGACACCCATGCTGGAGTGCAGTGGTGTGATCTCAGCTCACCGGAGTCTCAAATTCCTGGTCTCAAGTGATTCTACCACCTCAGCCTCCCAAATAGTTGGGACTATCGGCACACACCAACATGCCTGTCTAATTTGTGTATTTTTTTTTATAGACAAAGGTTTTGCTATGTTGCCGGCCGACAATCACTTTAAAAAATTTTTTTTAATTTTTATTTTATTTATTATTTTTTTTAAGACGGGGTTTCACTGTGTTGGTCAGGCTGGTCTTGAACTCCCAACCTCAGGTGATCCGCCTGCCTTGGCCTCCAAAGTGCTTGGATTACAGGTGTGAGCCACCATGCCCAGCCAATCACTTTTTTTTTAAATGTTTAAGTTCAGGGATACTTGTGCAAGTTTGTTTTATAGGTAAATGTGTGTCATGGGAGTTTGTTTTACAGATTATTTCATCACCCAGGTATTAAACCTAGTATCCATTAGTAATTAAAAAAATTTTTTTTAAATTTATTTTTTTTAAATAATAGAGATGGGGTTTCATCATCTTGGCCAGGCTGGTCTTGAACTCCTGACTTCATGAACCATCTGCCTCGGCCTCCCAAAGTGCTGGGATTGCAGGCGTGAGCCACCGCACCCGGCCTCCATTAGTGATTTTTGCTGATCCTTTCCCTCCTCCCACCCTCCACCCTCCAAAGGCCCCGGCATCTGTCCCCCTCTGTGTGTCCATGTGTTCTCATCACATAGCTCCCACTTATAAGTGAGAACATGCAGTATTTGGTTTTCTATTCCCGTGTTAGAGGATAACGGCCTCCAGCTCCATCCATGTCCCTGTGAAAGACGTCATCTCTTTCTTTTATGGCTGCAAACACCTACCCTTTTTCTTTTTTTTCTTTTCTTTT